TGCTCAAATTATATCTGCCTCTTGGGTAAATTTTTATGAACGACAGCCTGTAGGAGGATCACAAATTTGTTACATAGAAAATGCTGATCGATATTACTATCTCAATCTTACGGTTAGTACTCCTCAGGACCCACAAGCACTCGACACTTTGGTATTTAGTGATGACAATGGCCACCATGCAGAACTTATAGGAGATCCTTTATGGGCTACTGACGTAACGTGTGGTAAGATTTATAAGGAGAGTAGTACCACATCACAGTCTTATATCCAATTCTTAGGGAACATAAACCTAGCAATGTATGGGCTGATGTTTGGGTTACAGTATACAAGTCACTCTCGTTATAGTGAACTCTCTTTATAATGAACCTCTTGTTATAGTGAAGAACAATTTATATGAAAACCCTCTCGATATAATGAATTTACTAATAGACTCTTGATATAGTGAAGAAAATCTCTTAGCCCGATCACTTCACTATAACGAGAGTGACTTGTATTGGGCATGCCAAAAAGAAGATTGTGCTTCTGAAAAATTACGCTTACGGGTTTGGGCCCCCTAATTGTTATATAGCAATAATTTATCATAAGCTTTTAAAATTCATTTAAATTATTGCAGCAAATTAATTTCTGTTAATGCTTTTTACAAACTAAACCCTTTTTTGGTTTATTTTTTGTTATTTATTCCAGCTTCATTTATCATTATGAAATTTTGTGGACTATCTTAAAATTTTGTTATTACATTATTAATACCAAATAATTTATAAATTTCATAAATAAAGTTATGTGTGTTCGATGTGAGCCTATTATTCCCTCCAAAAAGGTTACATTGCTAGGTTTAAATTCAAATGCTTCTTTAACATACTAATTGATAATTAATTTTAATTAATTTTAATTAATTCTGATTCAATAATCAATTGTAATTAATTTTAATTAATTTTAATCAATATGATTTTTTTTTTAATTGTTGATGGCATGATATTAAGCGAAATAAAATGTGCAGAATAGATTTAAACCGATAATACGGCGATGACTACAGTTACCCACTTGCTATAATATCCCTATAAAAAATCCGGGTACATTTCATAGGGGCACGGTTTAGAAAATTGAAAAGGACTTGAGTAGCATCCTGAGCATTTAATATGTTAATCCTTATTAAACTTATATTGAATTATGTAAAGAGCAAGCTCTTTATAATACACTCCCCATAATTAGTACTCGGTATTACTCAAGAAATTTGGTTTCTGGAATAATACCGTGGATACTGTAGTCAGTGTTATCGAAGCTAAACAAACTTAGTATAAGGTTATTCATATATCAACTACATAAGCTACAATTGATTATGTAAATATGAATTTAACTATTTTGAGGAGTATAATATAGTTGAAGCAGATGTTCTGAACCTGAAACTGAATCAGAAATAGTAAAAATTACAAAAACCTTCGCGAGGAATAATACAATTTCATTAATTGTACTTTACATAGAAATACACATATTCATGCATATAATCTCTTTATGAATTTTCTGATCTTGCACAACAAAAAAATGGGCAATGTTAAAAATATTCATACTAATTTTTAAATAATAAAAATTTTAGGCGTGCATAAAGTCTTCCAAGAATATGAAATGGATAAAATAAGCAACATTTTATTGTCAATAAGCGATTTTGTTTAATACACCGTTTTTTCAAAAAAAGAAGTATCAAGAACAAAAGTCGCCTAAAATATTCTGCAAACGTTTAGAACTTCCAATCATATCAGAAGCATTATTATAATAATTCTTTTTTTTAGAATGATTTATTATTTTAATACCTGATATGTCTTCTCAAAAAAAGTCAATAGGTCCTTTAATGAGAATCGCAAATCTGGTAATTAGAATTTACAATGGACAATGGAACATTCACTTAGCCTGATGACACAAAAGCAGATTCAATTTGCGGGCAGATAATATTGTAACGACTGCATGACTCAAGCCAATTTGCATAACTATATTGTGTAATATTTGATTGGCAAGTGGAACCTATTTTTTGATAGAAGATAAATATGCAAATACTTATAAAGAATTATTTTTGAATACTTAATAGTTACGGCCATACACAGTGAAAAGCTCCGGAACCCGTCCGATCTCTGAAGATAAGCCACTGATGGCCCAGTCAGTACTATGGTTGGGGAATACTGGGTGCTGTAACTTTTGTCTTTTTTAACATTAACACTATATTACTATTTTAGATTTTTGATTAAGATCTCATGATCAGAAAGTTTTCTGATTGGTAAATCCCGTAGATTTACTTAGCGTTAGAGCTTTTAAATACCGATCCGGGCGGTGTGACAAAAAATAATGTCGCATTTATAAATAAGCTTTCTGTTACCTTATAGTTTAGTGTAGTCACAGGGTTACTCTAATTAGACTTTTATATTGTTTACTCTATTTACGTAATAGTATAGAGTTTATTTAAGTTTAATAATATGTATATAAATAGGGATAGCAGATTAGGTCGTATTTCTTTAGTTTTTCGCTTAGTCTTTAGTTCGTGGAAATAAGGGATATTTTAGAGGATATTTGTGTACTGGGTACACTCGATATGAAGATACTTACTTGTATCGCTCATATTTCTTTGTAGTTTTAGTATCTTGTGTGTGATAATAAATAGTTGTTTCTTTATTTTAATGCTTATGACCTGAGTTCAATTGGCAGTACAGTAAGAAAGTCTCTCCCCTGCCATAACATTCTTGGTGCCGATTGTGTGGAGTGAACGAAAAGGGGTAAAAACAGAATCCGCGCTGTGTTAAGAAAATTTGTGTGTATTGAGAAAAAGCCAGATTCATTTTGTGTTGAACTAAAAATAGCTAAGAAACAAAAGCCGGGTTTGTTTTGTGTTGAGCTAAAAATAACTAAGTGAGCAAACTCGAATTCGCTTTGTGTTGAGTTAAAGATTACATAAGAAAGATTGGGTATTAGAAAATAATTTCACAAGGCACAACTATTTCAGCTGCGGCTGAATCTGAAATATCAAAAAGGAAAGTAAGTAGATAATGAACAAAGCAGATACTCTAGGGAGAGAAGTGAATGATGGTAGGAGATAATTAAACGAATAAATGAATGGACAAGCAAATAAACTAACAAATGAATAACAACAGCTTTTGTGATAAGTGTGTTAATAATACAGCACAATATAAAATGTGGAAGAGCCACATGTTTATAGAAGACAATCCCTATAAAAAAAAATTATACCGAATATATTATATTTTTGTTAAGTTTTATACAACTTATATTCAAAATAGATTCAATACAGTACAATATTTGTATTGAAGCAAAAAAACTAAAAAATCTATAAGGTAATAATAATTGTATAAAAATATACAATTCCATAAATTTGACCAATAATTATGCAAAATAATTGTACATGATTCCATAATATTAAATTTGGTTAGTAATTATGTATAAAAATTGTACAGAAATAAGCAATATTATAGTCTTATTTGTATTATATTTATGTTGTAATTATATCATTACTTGTATTGTAATTGTAACAACAGTTGTATTGCAATTGTACTCTAATTTTATTACAGTTGTACTGTATAAGCTTATGTTAATAAACTGTATGTTTTTATTTTAATCTTTAATAATTTATATGTGAACCCGAATTTAACCCGGTCTTGTGTTACAGCTCAACTAACAAGCATGGAAGAAAGTGTAATTTATCGCATTTATTGCATTTATGACATTGTTGTATTTATGAAATTTGTTATATAAATTTGACATATAGTATATAAGCCATTTACTTGTAACTGTACTCTTTTAATATAAATAAAGACTGTGAAGTCCCTAGAGAGAATAAGTTTCATGCTACTTACAAATTTCGCATTCAATCAAGTTCCCATTGATCCATATAAACTTAAGTTCACTAAGAAATATAGTGCTAACTAAAATACCCAAA